TGCTGCTTGCCTTGCAAGCGCAAGATCCTGAGTTTGATCCCCGGTACCAAAACAAAACAAAAACAAGTTTGAGGCCATCTTGAACTACATAGGGAGACCCTATCTCAAAAAGCAAAAAGCAAAAAAAAAAAAAAACAAAGAAAGAAAGAAAAGAAAAAAAAAAAAACCCAACAACAACAAAAAACCAAAAACCAAACCAAAGAAACCAAAAACCTTTATATTTCAGAAGTTTTATAGGAAAAATATGCATTTCCCTCCATTCACATGTTGGTCCCCTTCCCGTTTGCAAGAGTTATTAACACGGGAGAAACACCAATTTATAAGTCTGAGCAGAAACAAAGTTGCAAAGCTAAGTACTTATGAATTTCTTTAGAGTCTTGCTGGGACCAGTATTATCTTTTCAACATGCCCAGGTTCAAGAAAAATATCTTTTCAGGTGGGTGTCTAACTCCTGAGTTTATATATACATACATATAATTTTGATTATCATTAGTACATGTTTCCACTACATAATGATTACATTCCTCATGAGGTGTTAGTACATGTATGTGATCCATCTCAATTCCTTTTTTCATCTCCTTCTCTGCTCCCTATTCCTTCCCTCCATCTCTCAGTCCTCTTCCCTTTTGAAAAATTACTAACTTCTTGTTCTCTATTACCTTTTATTTTGCCCTTTCTTTGTGTTTCTCATATGAGAGAAATCATGTGATATTTAAGCTTGTGTGTCTGATTTCTTTTACTCAACAGTAGGGTCTCAAAGTGCATCCATTTTCCTACAAATGACTACAGTTTATCCTTCTTTATGGAAGAGTAGTGTTTTACTCTGTGTAAATACCACATTTTTTTTATCCATTCATCTGTTGGTGGACATATAGACCACTTCCAAGATTTAGCTGTTATGAATTGTGCTGCATTAAACATGGGTATACATGTATGACTGTAACATGATAACTTTAATTTTGTGGGGAAGATACCTAGACAAGGAATAGCTAGGTTGAATGGAATTTCCATTTTCAGTTTTTTGAAGAATTTTCATACTGATTTCCACAGTGGTTGTATTAGTTTACATTTCCACCAACAATGTAGAAGAGTTCCTTTTTCTTTGCAGCCTCGCCATCTTTCTTTCTGGAGTAAGATGGAATCTCAGTGTTGTTTTAACTTGTATTTCTCTAATGGCCAAAGATACTGAATATTTTTTTCATGTATTTATTGGCCATTTGTATTTCTTGTTTAGAGAAATGTTTATTCATTTTAGTTGCTATTTTTTTGGATTAGGTCTTTTATTTTTGGGGTGTCTATTTTGAGTTTTTTATATATTCTAGATATTAATCCTCTGTACAAGGCAAAAAATAGCAGGCCAAAAATTTTTCTCATTCTAGTGCCTCTTTACTTTGTTGGTTGCTTTCCTGTGCTGTTGAGGTGATTTTTAATTTAATATGATCCAATTTATTGATTCTTGATGTTATTTCTTGGGCAGTTGGGGTTTTGGTCAGAAAGTCCTTGCCTACACCCATGTCTTCAAGAGTTTTACCTCATTTATCTTCCAGCAGATTAAATATTTCTACTTTAACATTTAGATACATTTTCTAAAATCTGGAATAGACCTGATCTTGCCTCTCTGGTAATGAATGAACAGTTACAGCCCTTGGTTACAATTAGTTTTCACTTTTAGAGCATCTCCTGGGGGTGATATGTGAATGCCTGAGGAGGTGGTTGTGAGGTGGATCTGGAAGCTGGGGCTCTGCTGAAAAAAAATGTGCTCTTGTGGGATGTGGCTGTAACACAGTATGTGCTAAAATGTAACTAACACAGCCAAAGCACCAAATGCCACATTTTTTAAATTAGAGGACTATTCTGAGCAGTTACAGATACGCATATGTATAGCTGCATTTATATATCTGTTCCCCCAGAAGCTGAAATCATGTGAACAATGAGTCAGGCTCTATTAAAATCACTGCAAAGATCATTAGTTTAGTGTTTTCCCTCAGTGAGTGACCAGCACCAAGTCCTTCATCTGAAGCTGGAAACCTTGGAACTCACATGGCCAATTATGCAATACTAGACCATTGGGAAGCATTTCCGCCTGGCTCAGCTGGTGATCCGATTTGCACCAAGACTGATACGCCTTATAATTTTATCCTGGTTAGCGCAGATGCTGTTCTTACATAAGTTTTTTTTTTTTTTATCTTTTTTTTTTCCTCAAAAGAAAAAGAAAAACAAACCTAAGCTCTTCCTAAGGGGCTTGGCCTGATGATATTTCAAGGTGGTGAGATCAGTATTCTGATCACGCTAGGGAAAAAAATCTTTCTTCAGAATTTGCTGTAGTTCACTTTCATTGAGTGTTGTGCATACTTGGTTATGAGTAAGATTGAAAGGGAAAAATAATTTGCCCCCCTCTAAATGACTCTTTTTTGGGGGGGTTGAAACTAGGACATTGCCAATGCTAAGCACACACTCTACCACCGAGTTAAATCCTCAGCCCCTAAATCACTCCTTTTATGAGGCTTTTTGAGTATGAGGGGGATGGGGTTGTTCTTAGAAGGTACGGAATATCAATGCAGGAGGTGAGTTAGTTTCTCCCATGCTAATGATGAAGTAGATTTTTTAAACATCACATTCATATGCATATATGGTGCATACATATATAATTAGTATGTTTACAAAGCTCCTTGCAGAACCTTAGAACTCCTAGTTCTATTAACCCTTGAAGAGAAAACTAAAGTTCAGATCAAGAAAAATGGAACGTGCTACCTTTCAATTATATTCACTCATCATCCATGTCTAGGGAAGATATCTCCAAAAAAGCAAAATGCATTTTTATGGAGCACAGCCACAGCCTGTTACAAATTTAACTGCTTCTACAGTTCTAATTACAAAATAAGCACTAGCTACTACATGGAACAACTGCACTAGCTAAAAAGATTTTTATAATCTGAGAGAAATGCTCTCATATTGACTCTGCTAAGAGAAACAACTCCTCTTTTCTTGATTATAAAGAAGGAAGACAGATGGCTTCTTGTTTAAGACTGTAATTTTACTTTCAGCCTCCTCCCTCAGTTAAAAACAAGATGTACTTTTCTGGCTTTGAGGGAAAATCTCAAGGGAAGATTTTTTATTCCTGGCAGCACTGAATAATTCAACAAACATTGGAGAGAACTCAGGGAGGTACAAAGGAGAAACTACTTTCCCTTGTTCTCAGGGAGTTTATAGTCTAATTGTGGAGTTTACAATCAGAATTTAGATCAGAGCTATTAAAGTTTATTTCTTCACTTTCATTTAATGGCCTAATGGTTACCAGTAATATACTTAGGATTCACTGGCTCTGTTATGGTAGAGCCTGTGATCAAACTGGAAAAAGGGATCATGCAGAAGAATCAGTGATCTCAAGCAGTACTTGCTGAGAGCTTATTCGCTGATCAACCAGCTGCCTTTTCAAGTTATTTAATCTTAGCCTTTTCCAGTCCTCCCTAATATCAGCATTTCACAGAGGAGGATGTTCAGAGAAGCAACTCAACCATACTCATAAAACCAGGAAATGGTAATGAAACACACCGACTGGGAATTCTCTTCCTTTCCTGGCCTTTTGACTATTCCCAAGATCCCATTTCAACTTTTTCTGTGCTTTGATTTCCTTACAATGAACTTAAAGTCAACTTCTATGTTTTTTTTCCTTCACCTTAGACTTTGAGTAATCTTTAAACCTTGCTGTCTTTTATTTGGCAAGTCAGACCTGGAGTGTAATTCCCCTCCATCTTTGCAAATGAACTTTTCCTTTTCTCTTGTAGCTGATTTTGTCTTTGAGATACTCTTGGACAAGATGAAATGAGACATGAATAAGGATTCTAACGGAGCCTCATACGTGTTTCTGCTATTGTTAACCATGATCTTTAGTTTTATTCTGGCAAACTTTTAACTGTTCTTACCTTGTACTATTTCTAAAGACTCTTTTGGGGTTTGAAACTTTTTGAAAGTAGTTATGTCTAATCTAAATTATTGTTGCCTTCAGAATATATTAATTTAGCAGTAGGGAGTTGTAAGAGCAGGCACTTGATCTCTTTTGTTCACCTCTTCTGGTGTCTGGTAAAAGAACTCAGTGTCTTCGGTAAATAATTGAAGTATGAATGAATTGATGCCCGGGTGTTGTTATGTTTTCTGTACTACCCCGTATAAGAAAGTTTAATTCTGATTCAGTATGGTTTTGACTTGAGATCCTGGAATACCTTTTTTCTTTCCCCGGTTTCTGGCTGTCATTACAATTTCAAATTGGGTGCATTTCATTACATTCTTGGTCCCCTACAAGGCTCAGTTTCCCCACCAGCAGAATGGGAGAGTATCAACAGATGCTTGTTTCTTCTTGTCGTCTCTCACCTAGTTCTTTTCTAGGGAAAGTTTTGTTATGTATGCTTTCTTCTGTGGAAAGGAAAAAAAAAAAAAAAGCAGCCGACACAGCGTCAAGGAGCCTTGGGAAACCTCGGAATCGTTCTCAGCAGGGAGAGGGTGAGGCAGCCGGTGCCTTCCAGTTCCGGAAGCAGCCCGGCTTCTTTTCGACAGCGGGCCCGCCCTGTCCTCGGGCGCCTCAGCCCCAGACGCCCTCTCGCCCCGAGGCAGACTCTGCCTCGGTGCCACCTCGAAATGGGCCCGGCGCCGCGCAGGCTCCGACGCGCGCCCAAGGGCCCGGCCTCATTCTGGCTGCCGCCGCCCTGCCGTCCGTGCGGCGTAGCACTGGGGGCGGGGAGTCTGATGGGAGACGCGCGCGGCGCTGAGGAGGCGGCAGCCCGGGAGAGGGAGCGGGAGAAGGACTGGGCGCGGGCGGTGGGAGGCGGGGGACAGGGGGAGGCGCCGCCGCCGCTGCCGCCCGCCCCTTTCCGCTGGGGAGCAGCTGCAGCCGCAGGAGCGGAGCAGCAGCCGCGCAGCCGCCGCCGCCGCCGCCGGGGGATGTGGCCCGTGCCTACCCCGAGCCGCGCCGCCTCCTGAGTCGCCGCCACTGCCGCTGCCGCCGCCGCCGCCTCCGCCGAGTCTTGCGGGGCCAGGTCGCGCCCTCCCCGGGCGCCCGCCGGCTCGAATGCCGAGGGGCTCCGGGGCGTAGCTGCGCGCCCGGCGCCGCCTCCAGGCTCCTCCAGCCCCGCCATGGGCTGCTGCAGCTCCGCCTCCGCCGCGCAGGTGAGGGCCCCCGCCTCCCGGCCGCCCACCCGGATGCCTCCCGCGCCCGCTGGGCGCCCCTGCCTGGCTGCGAGTGCGCGGGCCCTACAGCTCTCTCCAGCCCCTTCCCGACTCGGCCTCCTGCGTCCCGTTACACCTGAGCGGCGCGTCCCTCCTGCATGCAGGTGGAGAGGCACTGTCGTCCCGGTGCCCAGGTGGCGCCCCCTACCCGCGCCTGGTCCGGCCTTGCGCCTCTCTCCCCGCCGTCCGCACGGTTTCCGTATTCCCGGGCGCACCCCGCAGCTTGGGCGCCTCACCTCTCTTCCACCCCGTCCCAGTTTCTGCCCCGTGATCTCTCCTGTCCCCTCTCTCTTGCCCGCTAGTCCACGGGCGGTTCAAGTGTTTCCGCAGGTCCCGGGGCTGCCGCGCTCGCTCCCACCCCATCCCCCCTTTGTGCCGTGACCCGGGCCACCGCGGCCTCTTGGGGTGCCGAGGCCCTTGCGGGAGCGCCGCCCTCGGGGTGGGAAGCAGATTGGGCACCTGGAGGGTGACGGGAGCGTTATGGAAACTCCCTCTTTGTTGCCAGTGTAACAGGAGGAAGAGGTGCCGAATTTAGTTTTTCTGTGGGCACTGGCTGGATGTTGTCGCTGAGGGCTGAGATGCAGAGATTTCTCCCAGCTTCCACCCTGCCCCCATCCAAATTTCTCTAACCTCCTCTTTCCAAGGAGGAGCCCTTAACCCGAGTGGAAATGTTTAGACAACTGTGTAAGGATCAAATGTAATAGAACTTGACGGCTGGCCACTAATAACTGAGAAGACCTGTTTGTAAATTACCTAATTTAGTGGATTAGTGAGTGTATTTACAAATACGATAAAAAGCAATCAGGAATACCGCATCAAACTGTCTGATGGTGGTGTATGGAAAATAGGCTGTGACAACGCCTGGGATGTAATCTGCACAGTTTTCATTAGCGTAGAATTTAACAGTGGTCTGTGATTTGTTTGTTGGGGGTGGGGGGAGGCAGGCTCTTGGTTTTAGAAATAAAGGCTGATTGGTTCTTGGTGAAGAAAAATGCTAGTTTGGGGAAAAAATTCCTTCAGAGATCTAGCATCTGTGATAATGCTAGAAGTGTTTTGCTGCTGCTAAATGACTATATATAACTCAGTTTTAAATAACCTGCATACTTGTTCTGAAAATCCCAGATCTTTTGAAGAGAAAACGACTAGAATTGCAGATAAATGGAGGACATTTATTCTTTACTAGGTGTCCATTCTGTTTGTCCAGTTCTTAGGCTGATTGGTTTAGTCAAACCTTGCTATTCACTTGAATAGCAGAGAAAAACTATCTGGTAGTGTTTGGGAGGCTAGATCAGGGTTCTCATGTTCACATATAAAAATGTGGACTTAACACATGTCTTTCAACTGACTAGGGACCTTTTGGGAAGGGGCATCTATTTGGATACTAGTCATCTAATATTTACATAGTTAAAATTATCAACAAAAGGTATCTTTCATATTGCCTTTCCATAACTGGATTACTTTCTATTCTCTTTTGGTGGTGAAATGCCTTTAAGACAGGAAAATATTGGTAGTTTATGAAGGGCTTGTTCAGTGAAAGAACAATTTAATTTGGGAGAGACAGATTCTGCATCAGAACTCTGCTTTAAACAGGTAATGGATCTTGTGTGTATCTAGTTCCTCAGTGTACTTTTTCAGAATGCTGTCACATATATTTTCGTTGCCTTTTCTCTCACAGCCAGTATTTCCTTGCTACCGTGTTCTACAGACAAGATGAATGTCCTGTATCCAAGGGGTGCTCCACCCCCCGGATTCCTATAACCAAGCAGCAGCTCTCACATGCCTTTGAGTTCAGCTTTAGGGACTTGTAGTGTTCAGTGGAGCATTGAGGAGGCTGGTTTTGTGCTAAAGAGCTGGTCATCATTTTTATTTTCTTATTTGAGCTTTTTAGCATCATTCTTCATTTTTGAGTCTGTTGGCATTTTAACCCTCCTTTCAGAAGCATCACAAATTTAGAATACTATTGTATCTATATGTGTTGACTTGAAACAAAATAGGGATGCAACTTTGTCTTTTTCAGTGAGCCTGCAGTGTGTTTTCAGGCAGAATGTTTGTTTCATCCTTTCAGCTGAATTATAAACTTATTGGTATAGAATATGCTTTGGTTTTTTTCCTCTGTGTGTTTGCTGCAGTACCTCTCTACCTTAAACATAATAGCTGCTCAGCTGCTAGTTATTGAACAGAACTTATATACAGATTTGAACATCTGTCTGGCAAGTGACATTGACTATGACTGCAGCCCTAACCTGTGTTTCACTTCTGTGAGCTTGAGCTGATTGACTAATTCTTCCATGCTGTCCTCTTTTAAACTGAAAGTTGAACTGTGAAAGTTAGCATTTACCTACCTTTCTTACATTCCTTCAGTACCATTAGCATGTAAAATTGAGCAGTTTTTTTTCTTTTCTCCTGATGAACTTTTTGCTCAATGTATATATTTTAATTGGAACAGTGGCTATAACATCTTAAAAGAGCTTGTCTGCAAACAAATGATAAACTGTACAGCACATCAAAACAATGTGCTTTGAGGAAATCTGCAGTCCAGCTTAGTTTTTTCTCAGTGGGGTTGTCAGCCTTGAAGTCCAGGTAGACTTTATCAGTATAGAATACACTTTCTTTCTGTAGTAGGGATTCACTTTTGAAATGTACTTTATTTTCCTCCATAATCTCTTGCCGTGTTGTAAGTTATGATCTCTCTAACTTCCATCTCTTGTTGTAGTCTGGTACTTATTTTCTTGGCGGTCTGGGTATCATAAATTCATATCAAAATGATTATCGTGTTTTAGGATTTAAATTTTTAAAAGTATAACAACATTCTATAATAGTATTTCATTGCTAAAGGAACAAACTATCAGCAAAATCATTTGCTGTAGCAGGTACAGTGTGTACATCTAAAAATTTTAAGTATCTTTGTAAGGCTTTTTATAATTGAGTTTCTTTTCAAGTGACCATTACAAGTTCTAATTGCTCAAAACAAGCCAATGAACGTTAGCCTTTGCCTAAAAGTCTTTTGGAAGGGAACATAAAAGTAAGAATGTTTTGAGTTTCTTTTTACAGCACTAATCCTCCCTAAGACTCTTAAAATTTATTCCCTTTTCCATAATTCGTTTCTTCTATTATAACCTGACATAATTTCTATTCTTGTAATGTTAAACTTCAGAGTTCGCTTGTAAATCTTCAGATTTATTAAATGTTCTTTCTCATTGACAAACCAGTTTAAATGAAGGAGGCTTTTGAAAGATTACTTAGCAAGTTGCTGCAAGTCTTTGTCGTTAATGGCTAGATCATTATTTCTCACAGCAGCACTTTGGAGGCCAGGAGATTGTGCAAGTGCTCTGAAGTTCTGTATCCATTAATTCTAACCTTAGAAAGTAAGAGATGGAAACTCTTAGGTTGAACAAACTGCCCCTTGTCTATCTTGTTTTAGAAGATTTCAGTCCACTGTCTTGTCTCATGCATGGTCTTCACACTGGGAGCAGTATATTTAACTATCTTTTCTAGCTCTCACATCTCATTTTGAGATTAGTGAAGATGTCAGCAGTGGTTTACAAATACTGGTTAACATTTGCCTTAACTGTTAATTGCTTTACAGAATTTTAATAATTCTGTAGATTATACCTGCTTTGTGGAATCTGAAGTCTGAATGGTAAAAAATTTGAAGAGCATAGAGGGAATTACCAACAAATACTATGTTCTTTAATTAAAATTCAACCTGAAGGAAGCAGAAGAAAATCATGCAGGAAGACTTTTCTTCTTCTTCTTTTTTTTTTTCTGATTACTGTGCTGTTAGCACATTACTCAAAATATGTAAATAAAAATCCTGTCAAAAGTTGGCTGAAAAATAATGTAGAAATAATAATGCTTTTCATGTAACTTTTTCACAGCCATTTTAATTTTTTAATCTCTGCAATAACTAGATACAAAGTTGATTTTACTTGCATTTATTGTTGAAGAAATTGAGACTAGGGTGCTTGCCTGAAGTCACACATCTATTGAAAGATCTAAACTTTGGTTCAGGTTTATGAACCTGAGTTGTGTGTTTCTTTTTTTGTGTGTTCTCATGCATAGTTCCTAAGTCTTAAATTGTAGCTCACTTTTTAAAAAAACTTTAGAAAAGAATAATTTTGAATTAATTTCTGAATTAAATTTCATGTCACCATTTTTAACTTGCACATTTATCAGCTGGCAAGCAACATCATGTAACAGAGCTAAGCTAGTCCAGTTAGAGTGCTGGACTATCAGATACTATTTGATGTGTTAACAAATATGTCGTTTAAAAGTGCTATTGGAGGGCTGGGGATTTAGCTCAGTGGTTCCGCTGCCTGCCTTGCAAGCGCAAGGACCCAAGTTCAATCCCCGGTACCAAAAAAAAAAGGGGACCAAGAGATAGAGGGGAGAGGAACGGGACATAGAAAGAATAAGTGTAGTCATTATGTACTGCAAATAGTTACTAATAAAAAACCCTGAAAAACAAAAACTAAGACTAAATTCAAAATATGCTCCCTCCCAGTCTTTTTCAGTGTCTCTGGCTCATCAAATGACACCAGTATCCTAGTTTTACAAACAGGAAAAGGACCACACATCTCAGATGCAGAAGAAACCCAAGTCATGTGGGGAACATGCCTTCGATGTTTCCACATCTTGCTTCTTTTACTTCACAACTCCACTCCCAGCACCCTGGTGCAAGCTCCTGTCATCTCCAGCTACTACCTTGGCCATAGATCTCTTCCCTGTATCTATTCCTGCTCCCTTTTGATTTTTCTCTGTACAGCAGTCTAATGACCTTTGAAAATTCACAAGCTGATTGTGTTCTTCTCTTACTTAGAACCTTCTAGTAGTTTCCAGTTGCTCTGGACAAAGAAAAGAATCCCTTAGGCAGCCAGTAAGACCCCCTGTGGGCTGGTCCCTATCTTGGTGCAGTGTCATCTTACTCCAGGCTTTTCTTT